CACTTGAAACCAAACTGGTTGAATTGGACTGCTTGAACCAGATCAGCTGTTTTCTGAAACCAGAAACCCTAAGTGCTACCCCACGACAACTAGAGGGGCGAAGGCGATTGGCAGTGACGGAAGCGCACGGCGACTGGTGGCGACGAAGGTGCGAAGGACGGCGAGACGAAACCCACGAATAGCAATTGGAAAACAGCAGTGTTGGCGGATCAACAAACGTCGGCGGCGGCGACGACGGTCGTAGTGAATTGTGTTGGATAGCAATGAACAAAACCCTAAGGGACAAAACCCTAATGGGCACAAAACCCTAATGGGCATCAAAACCCTAATGGGCAAAAAACCCTAATGGGCAAGAAACCTAGAGCTCTGATACCATGTAGAGACTAAGGTTGGAGAGAATCCAATGTTATGTATTCTCATTATTAAAGTCTATATATATAGACAAATATACAAGGTTGACCTTATCCTATAAGGAGAAGGTAAATGACAAATTAATATTAATACAAGAATATAAAATATACTAATTATACTCTAATACTTTTGAACTAGATTTTTGTCATAATAGCTTTTGCTGCATCCACCCAGATCAGCTTGGCTCGACTTTAACACTACATAGATGTTGAGGAATACGATTCTTAGATATTTATTATTATTTTTTTTAACAAGAAACGGACTTCCAAAGGAGTGAAAGTATAAAAAAAAAGAGTAAAAAATCAAAACAAAAATTAAGGAGTTAATAAGAGCCTCCAAATTCGAAATAATCATACTCAAAGAATAATTAGCGATCAAATTAGAAAGAACACACCATTGAAAAGTCTTAAACTTGGTTAAATTAAAAACATCAATCAAAGCTTTACTTTCCCCCTCGAATATCATTTGTTTCCTTTCAAACCATATATCGGACAGTGAGGCTCTAACTCCATTATGCCAAAGAAGACCTGCTTTGGGTGCAAGACTTGGATTGATCAGCAATGAATTGACGTTCTTTGAAACGTCAAGCTTAGAAACCCAAGAAACGTTAAAAAGCTCGAAAAATAGCTTCTAGCAAGATGCGGCAAAGGAGCAATGGAAGAAGATATGCTGCTGGAACTTGCAAGAATTACCACACAATAAGCAAATAGAGGGATGAAGAACCATTGAAGGAATCTGTTTTTGTAGAACATCAGCCGTATTAACTTTGCCGCAGAGAAGAATCCATACTAGGACATTAACTTTCTTTGGACTTTTTGTTTTCCAAAGAGCATAAAAAAGATCCTTAGACAATGGAATAGAATTCTGCTGCCTACTTAAGGAAGCTACCGAAAAAGCCCCAAAGGTTCCAAAGACCAGCGCCTTCTATCAGCATCATTAATGACCGAGACTGAAATAAGTACGGCCAGCAAAGCTGCAAACTCCTCAACTTCATCTTCTTTTACAGATCTTCTTGTCTCAATATGCCAAACACAAGGAACATGATATTTTATCAAAACGCAAGAAACATTAAATTGTTGTAACAAAAACTTGTAGTATTTTCTTGATCTTCACAGAACACACAGAGAAGGGTGCCAGGCTTCGAAAGAAAATTTCCATTGAAGTTTATCTATTGTAGTTAAATGAAAATAATTACCTTCCTAGCGCTTTTGGTCTTCCAACAAACTTTGAACAGTGCTTTGAATACCAAAGAAGAATGATGGAGTGCCTTTAGAACAGTGTTTTAAAATTCACCAACAAAATGTTCCATTTCTATAGTTTATTATAAAATTACTACTTTAATATATATACATATATTATCTAAAATTTTCTTTAAAAAACTAACGTATCCCCGATGTGTCCATGTCCTATATCTTTAGAAATTGGCGTATCGCCGTGTCCGTGTCGTGTTGTGTCCATGTCCCGTGTCTGTGTTCATGCTTCTTAGGTCTAGATAGGTTAGGTCAAGACAGGTAACGTATGCAGGGTCTAGAAATTACAGGAAATCTACCTATGGTTATTATTATTATTATTTTTCTGCAGGAATTGCTTTTCGATATTGTGCCTTCTTGGGTGGACATGTAGTTACATAAAGTGTTTTTTCTGAATTACTCTGTTTTTCATCATGATGTTTGAAGAACTCGTACGAGTTTGACAGTCTTGATTTTATCGTTGTATTAAAGCTCTTAACTTGAAGATTTAAGTGCTTATAACAAATTTTGTAAAATTATGTTCACTAGTAATATCATGTATGGTTATTTTAGGCAGATCTGATTGGGATGATGGTAGATGGGAATGGGAAGATACACCACGTAGGGATGGCCGCTCTAATTCTAGCAGGCATCATCAACCTTCACGATCCCCAATGTATGTTGGCGCCTCACCAGATGCTCGATTAGTTTCTCCATGGTTGGGTGGCAACACTCCTAATTCTGGTAGGCTAAATCCTCTTGAAAAATATTTTCTTGTGGATTCCATTGTATTATAGATGATGGTGCTATCATTAACATTCCCTCGTTAATTCTATGCATCTTATGCTGGATCAAAATGCATATTGCACAGGTTCTTCTGCTTCACCTTGGGACCAGATCTCTCCTTCACCTGTTCCAGTACGTGCCTCTGGATCCTCAACTAAGTCATCAAGTTCAAGTTATCATGCAAAGTCCCACCACCTTAAATTTTCATCACGAAGTTCTCATCTGTCTGAGGTATTGCATTGTGGTTAGATTATGAAGCTCTGTATATATTTTTTAATTTTCTTAGACTTATTGGCTATGGTGCAGCTCCACTTTCAAATTTTCTCATGGAAAATATATGCATTGTTCTAAGTTGAATTTGTCAAGAGCTGTGCTTTTTTTTTTACATGATTAATGTGCAAGCTACTTTTACCATTAGATGAATGTGTTTTTGTTACTATTTCCAGGATTCTCAAATGGACGATTCTGAATCAACTGGAACAAAGTATGAGATCAGTGAGAATATGCGCCTGGAGATGGAGTACAACTCTGATCGGGCTTGGTAATTTAACATATCCTATCCTCGATCGATTGCCATCAATGTCATAGTGTTTATGTTTTCCAGGATGACCAAATTATGCACTTATCCAATGTAAAAATCCAAATCTAAAACTATTTAGATAGTGGGATGTTGTAAAGTAAATTTGTTAGCTTTGTTAAGTTGCTTCTATAGTTAGGAATTTCTATTTTAAATTGTTTTTTGACCATCTACTTCTTTTGGTTTTTGGATTTGCTCTTGCACCAGATTAGAACTTCTCAGAGCTTATGGTCTTTAATTTCATTATATAGGTATGATAGAGATGAAGGTAATACAATGTTCGATGCTGATAGCTCATCATTTTTCTTTGGAGATGATGCTAACATCCAGAAGAAAGAAGCTGAGCTGGCCAAAAGATTGGTATGTTAACATGTGAAATTTATTTTTCTAAGCTTATGTGTATTACATGTTTCATAAAGCAACTTCTACCAAACACCCTTTGTAACTCATTTGCATCAGTGTTGGTATTTGGAAAATTATTTATTCGGTTTAAGTGCTGTCTACCCCATCTGTTGTAAGTTTCTCTTGAATTAAAAATTTTTGGTGAACCTTGAGGGTTGGGTTTAGTAGTAATTGTAGGAGGCCTGGATTAATTGAAAAGGTCGTAAGTTCTATAAAAATATTGAGGCCATCTTCCTATATCCTTTTTTTTTGGATAAGAAACATTTCATTAGAAAGAACAAAAGAGCAGCACAGCCTACAGACAGGGACTAAGGCAGCCCCCTACAAAAAGCAAACTAATCATGCTCCGATCTTGTAAAACCAAGGAGTGGCTATAATTACAAAAGAATTTTGTATTTCATATGCATCACCAAGAAGCTAAAACCTGCACACTATTACAAAAAGAATCTCAAGGCTTAGCTTTGTCTTCAAAGGAGCGTGAATTCCTTTCCAGCCAAACGTTCCATAAAAGAGCTCTAAAAGCACATCTCCACAAAACTCTAGCCTTTCCTTACCTGTGAAAACATTCTAAAACCAGCCATCTTCCTATATCCTAGTTTCTTGATTAGAACAAGTTGGCCTTCAGTAGTTGATGGTTATAGAATAAATATAATAATTTCGACACTTGTCTCTTTTGACAAAAAAAAGTTATAATAATAATAAATAAATAAATAAAATAATAATAATAATTTGGACATTTATGTACTCCAAAAAAACTGCTATGGTAGTTAACGGTTATTTAATGTCTATACATCAAGTACAGCTTGGATGGGCTTGGTTGATTGAGTTCTCTTCTCCTTGATTGTTTAAAAGCTCTTTAGTTTAAAATAAAAAAGTACAGGGCTTTTTAGAACAGTTTTCAATTTTCATCCTGTAGGTTGGGTAATGGAGAAGATTATGGGACTGTTTGGTTGTTTTTTATGATTGCTTTTACATACATACACATACATACACATACATATATACACATATAATATATAATATATATCTATGTATACATACATCTAGATATATATTATATGTATATACATAACATTTATATATAAATTTTAAAAACCGTTTCGAAAGATCTCTTTGTTATTGTAAACAACCCCCAAAACTTTTGAAAGATAATTTTAGACGGTGAGGTAGAAATTGAGGAGTGAGAAAATTTATCATTTATAATGTTTGTCCTTATCAAACAAAGCTTGTAAGATATGGTCTTTTATTGATAGGATCGAGAGGATCTAGAAAAGGAATAATCAATTGTCTGAATACTGAATAGTCCTAAAGAGTGCAACCACCTCTTCTATCAATTGACTGCGGTTCTTTGGGGAGATTTAATGGGGTTTGGTATGTGATTAAGTTCAAAAGGGGCTTCATTTAGGAGGCTGGTGGTGGCTTGGGAGGATTCTTTTGTTTGGTCCACGCTTCTTCCTAGTGTTCTTCGGATAGGATCTTCTGTTATTATTCCCCTTTTCTTATAGGTCTAAATTGGGAAGGTTTTTATTTTTATTTTTATTTTATTTTCAATTCTAATTTTAGATTTGGATACCTCATAACCCTCATTCTTTTTAAATTTAAGGTATTTCCATTAAAAAGTTGGATGTAGGCTTATTTTAAGAAGTTCTCAAAGTGAGTCAACATGATCTTTGATGCAGGTTCGTCGAGATGGGACTAAGATGACCCTTGCTCAGAGCAAAAAAATGTCTCAGCTCACTGCTGATAATGCACAGTGGGAAGACCGACAACTTTTGAGATCAGGAGCTGTTAGGGGTACCGAGGTGCAGACTGACTTTGACGATGAGGAAGAGCGCAAAGTCATTCTTCTGGTCCATGGTAAGAAGCATTCTTTCATATTTTAAATTTAGATAACCATGATGCCATTTTTGCTGAGTTCAAACTGAAGTAGTTGCAATTTTGTGACAGATACAAAACCCCCTTTCCTTGATGGAAGAGTTGTTTTCACTAAACAAGCAGAACCAATAATGCCAATAAAAGACCCTACATCAGATATGGCTATAATATCGCGCAAAGGATCTACACTGGTGAGGGAAATCCATGAGAAACAAAACCAGAACAAGTCACGACAACGATTTTGGGAGCTTGCAGGCTCTAAACTTGGTGATATCCTCGGTGTTGAGAAAACGGCAGAGCAGGTATGATATTTTGCAAGATAAAGATGAAGTCTTTTGGTACCTTTTTTCCATAATTGTTCTTAACGTGTTCTATAATATGATAGATAGATGCAGATACTGCAGAAGTAGGTGATGAAGGTGAGGTTGATTTCAAGGAAGATGCGAAGTTTGCACAACATATGAAGAAGGGGGAAGCAGTGAGTGAATTTGCCAAGTCTAAAACCTTAGCACAACAAAGGCAGTATCTTCCTATATATTCAGTTAGAGATGAGTTGCTGCAGGTTATAATTATTTTCCTTCTGTTTGTTCTCTTTTAATGTTTTATTATGTAATTTTGGTTTGTTTCCAATCTTTCTAATTTATAGTTCAGGGTAATAAAAATCAAGTAATAACAAGTTTTGGGCTGGTGTATTTTAATACTAGTTCTTATTTACTTTCATCCGTTATTTATATCTTTAGATAAAATCAATGGCCTTTGAATTGTATACTAGGTGTGGGGCTCGTAAGATGGATTAAGAAATAAAGAGAGGCTAAAAATATTAATTTGAGAATTTACAGGTAGTTATGGGTAGTTAGTTTTGTGGAATTTGATCTTACCGATAATGTTGGTAGTTAATTCCCTTGGCCTCTCTTAAACGAAAAAAAATGGAAGGACTATCTTTAAATTGTGTTGAACATAGAAAGGAAAGTTTTCAGACTCCTCAAACGTCTGAACTAGGTTGTAATCCTTTATCAACAAGAAATTATTCTAGTGATTTGCCAAAAATTTATTGCAAGAAGTATAAATAAAATTGTTCACGACTGAATGCTGAAAATATTTCTTTCAAAGTTGTTTTTTCCAACCACTAGAAGTGTTTGTGGATTCTCATACATCCTTAGGGGAAATGGTGGGGGAAGAAGACATTGCTTTAGACATTTTTAATGTATTTGAACTATCTTTTGTAGGTTATCCGTGAAAATCAGGTGGTTGTGGTCGTTGGAGAAACTGGTTCGGGAAAGACCACTCAACTGACTCAGGTTTATTCATCATTACCTATCTTTTCATCGTTGAATAGTTCATCCGTTTACCTTATTAACCAACATGCTTTGACAGTATCTATTTGAAGATGGTTATACTACAAATGGTGTAGTGGGTTGCACCCAACCAAGGCGTGTTGCAGCAATGAGCGTTGCAAAAAGAGTGAGCGAAGAGATGGAGTGCGATTTGGGTGATAAAGTAGGTTATGCCATTCGATTTGAGGACGTAACTGGGCCATCAACTATTATTAAGGTGAATATATCTTTTCAAATGGCAAATTACCCTTTAATTATATGAGACTTTCCAGGTCAAAGTTCTTTTTCCTTGTTGCTCAAGAGATAAGGGATGAATGTCATTCTCATTTTTATTACCTATATGATCAGAAGATTTATAGCTGGACACACTAGTTTTTAATGTTTGTTCCTGTACGTTTCAGTATATGACTGATGGAGTACTTCTGCGTGAAACTCTCAAAGATTCTGATCTCGATAAATATCGGTATGAAATGTTAAGATTTATTTGCCAATATGGAGCGGTAGCTATATTTTTGCTGACGGTTATCATTTTCTCCCAGTGTAATTGTGATGGATGAAGCACATGAGAGGTCACTTAGCACGGACGTCCTTTTCGGGATCTTGAAAAAGGTGGTTGCCCAACGTCGTGATTTCAAGCTTATTGTGACGTCTGCTACTCTTAATGCACAAAAGTTTTCAAACTTTTTTGGAAGGTATTGTTGATTTACTGTTCTATGTTTTCTTTGTACATCTTGGATGATAAACCTATCATAACCGGTTCACTAAATTTTTGCAGTGTTCCTATTTTTCACATCCCTGGGAGAACATTTCCTGTGAACATTTTGTACAGCAAAACTCCATGTGAAGATTATGTTGAAGCAGCAGTGAAGCAGGCTATGACCATCCATATCACAAGCCCTCCCGGAGACATTCTCATCTTCATGACTGGCCAAGACGAGATTGAGGCAGCCTGTTTTGCCCTTGCGGAGCGCATTGAACAGCTTATTTCAACCACAAAAAAGGGGGTGCCCAAACTCTTGATACTGCCCATATATTCACAGCTTCCTGCCGACTTGCAAGCAAAGATCTTTCAGAAAGCCGAAGACGGCGCTCGTAAATGCATTGTCGCCACCAACATTGCCGAGACTTCCTTAACCGTGGATGGAATATTTTATGTCATTGACACTGGTTATGGTAAAATGAAAGTGTACAATCCTAGGATGGGTATGGATGCACTGCAAGTGTTTCCGGTTAGTCGTGCTGCTGCAGATCAGCGTGCTGGACGTGCTGGTAGAACTGGACCTGGTAGTTGCTACCGTTTGTACACGGAAAGTGCATACTTAAACGAAATGCTGCCGAGTCCCGTGCCAGAGATCCAAAGAACTAACTTGGGGAATGTAGTTTTACTGCTTAAATCCCTTAAAGTTGAAAACTTACTGGATTTTGATTTTATGGATCCACCACCACAGGATAACATCCTTAACTCTATGTACCAGTTGTGGGTATTAGGGGCTCTTAACAATGTTGGAAGTTTGACTGAACTTGGGTGGAAGATGGTCGAGTTCCCATTGGATCCCCCTCTTGCCAAAATGCTTTTGATGGGCGAACAGCTCGGATGCATCGACGAGGTGCTGACTATTGTCTCGATGCTTTCAGTACCATCGGTATTCTTCCGACCCAAAGATCGTGTCGAGGAGAGCGATGCTGCTAGGGAAAGGTTTTTCATTCCTGAATCCGACCACTTAACGCTGTATAACGTTTACCAACAATGGAAGCAACACCAATACCGAGGGGACTGGTGCAACGACCATTTCTTACACGTGAAAGGGCTGCGAAAGGCTCGGGAGGTGCGGTCGCAGTTGTTAGATATTTTGAAAACACTGAAGATACCGCTGACATCCTGTTGGCCCGATACGGATCTTGTGAGAAAAGCTATTTGCTCTGCTTATTTTCACAATGCAGCTCGATTAAAGGGTGTGGGAGAGTATGTAAATTGCAGGAATGGGATGCCATGCCATCTTCATCCAAGCAGTGCTCTCTACGGCATGGGATGTACTCCTGACTACGTCGTTTATCACGAATTGATTTTGACAACAAAGGAGTATATGCAGTGTGCGACCGCAGTCGAGCCCCAATGGTTGGCCGAACTTGGACCGATGTTCTTCTCCGTCAAGGAGTCGGATACATCACTCTTGGAGCATAAGAAAAGACAAAAGGAAGAGAAAACAGCCATGGAGGAAGAGATGGAGTCTTTGAGAAAGATTCAAGTCGAGTCCGAGAGAGAAAGCAAGGAGCGTGAAAAGGAGAAGCGACGAAAGCAGCAGCAACAAGTTTCTACGCCGGGTTTACGACAAGGTTCCGGAACTTATCTAAGACCAAAGAAGCTGGGTTTGTGAGGACAAAATTTGTTGTACTGTATCAAATATCAAATAGTTGGTTCATATCAAATTTAGTTAATATTTAAAACAAAAATGTATATTTTGTACTGATTTTGACACGTAGTTCAGAGTTTAAAGAGTTCCAGAGAACATAATATGCGCATCCAATATAATGCCAAAATTCTCCTTTCGTTTGCATTCTTCAATTTTGGATTAATGATGAAGATTGAAAGAGTTTAGTAATCTTTCTCAGTTTGAATTTGTTCTCCTACTAGAAATAATTAGAGGGTTTGAATTAATCATTTTCGAGGGATCGATTCTTTTATAAGTTATAGGTTCGAATCAGGTTCGGATCTTTCCGTATGACTCTAATGAAATATTTGATGATCTATTGTTAGAAAAGTTTTCACCTATTTCAAAAGTGTCCCTAAAAAGTAATAATTTTTTCCTTTTTGAAATAAATAATTTTTAAAATTTTATTTTATTATTACTTCCGATTTTTTTCACATTATGGATTTGATTGATTTCGAGGAACCAAATTTTGTAGACATGGATCTGATCGACATTTTCATATTATTACCATAAAATCGTCAAATATAAAAATATAACAACAAAATATCATTGACATAAACATGACATTAATAATACGAATTCTAATTTACAACTAGACATAGCATTAATAATACGAATTTTAATTTAAAACTTAAAAGTGGTGATTGTTAATTTAAATACATTTCTATGAATATTTTATTTTATGATTTTTTCAGTAATATCCATCGATGACGTTTTTATCGATATTTTAAAAACATTTTTAAAACAATTCTAAAACAAATTAAAAAAATATTTTAGTCTTTAATGTTTTTTTTTTTAATTTAGTACCTATTGTTTAAAAAATTTAAGTTTAGTCTTTTATTTTTTAATATTTTCAATTTAGTCTCCCACCATCGATGAATGTAAAAATTACTTGACGATAGACTTATGTAGAGTAATAAAACGTGAATTGATATAAATTTAGAGGAGAAAATGTCATAAAGAGAATAAAACTCCGTTCACTGTGTTATGTCACATCAATTTTCGCGACTCGATGATGGATTAAATTGAAAAATATTAAAACATAAGAGACTAAATTGAAACTTTTAAAACAATTGGGATTAAATTGAAAAAACATCAAAAATTAGAAACTAAACTATATATTTAGCCAACAATTTAAAAGCAATAGGAGATTGAAAGAATAATAATAAAAAGAAGCTCCAACTTTGAGACGAGCTTTGGGGTGGGCACCGGTACCTTTGGTATAGGAGAACAAAGCTCCAACTCTCCGTTACCAAAAAAGATTATAAAGTAAAAAATAAAATAGGAAGAAGACTAGATTACAAAAAATACCCCTAAAATTTGCCTTCTATTTCAATATACCACTGTCATTTCAAAAGTTTCAATATTACTCGTAACTTTTCATAGACATCTTAAAAAATATCTTTTGGACAAACATACATTAATATTTTGAATGAAAAGTTGACATGATAGAATCTAGAATGATATGTCAATTAACGAAAAACTTGCTTGAAAAAATGTCACTACAACAAATTTGACATTAAGGTGTCATCTTGAACATTATTAAAGATCAAATTTGTTGAAGTGTCAATTAATTGTTCTCGAAAAACTCTATTAATTACCATCTTTTGTTTAAAATATTAATAAATATTCACTTACGAGAAGTTAAAAGGTAATATTGAAACATTTGAAAGAATAAGGATATTTTTAAATAAATGTCAAAAGTTTAGAGGGTTATTTTATTTTATTTTTTTTTAATTTAGCCTAAAAAGAAAGTGCTTCATTCAGGGGCATTTTGGTAAGAAAAGTGATATTTTCACACACAAAATTCAGAATCGATAACTTTAAACAATTTATCTGATTTGTTCCAAATGAATTCGCATTATCTTATTCCAATATTGAACAGATTTTCGTATTTGAGAGCGCACTTGGTTGTTTCGAACCGAAGAAATCATAAAATTTCCCCCAATTTTTTTAGGGTTTGTAGGTTTTCGTTTAATTATTCCCGCGAGAATATGGAATCTGAAGGTAACCGTTGGATTCCTCTCGTTTTTCCTTCATTCACCATGCTCTCTTTTCTTCTCAAGTTGAATTTTATGATGAATCGTTCAATTCACGCCATTAGATTTTGGAAAATCCATGCTTCAGGTCAAAAGACTGCCACAAATCCGTCCGCCATGCTCGCAGGTCTTCTCACTAGGAGAGCCAAGCTCCACGATGAGCTTCGGAATATCGAGAAGCAGGTTAAATTTGTTTCGTTGAAGGCGTTTTTTTTTAAAAATTTTTTGGCTTGCTGTAGTTCTTAGTATAAACCTTGACATTGTGAATTTTGGAGGCTTTTTGTTTGTTTTTGTTTTTTGTTTTTTTCTGTGTGAATTCTATTTGGGTACCTAGAGTTTTACACTTGTTAGGTTTGCTATTTATACTTTGAAATCTTGTGTTAGTTGTTTTTGAATTCACTGTCACACTCAGTACATGTGGCTCATGCAAGATTTTCTTTTTCCCCCTCAAAATATGCAGGTCTATGACATGGAGACTAATTACCTACATGATCCTAGCCAATGTGGCAATGTATTGAAAGGTTTTGAAGGATTCCTGTCTGCATCTAAGAGTACTGCTCTGTATGGAGTGTCTAATATATTTTTTTTATCAGCAAATTTTTCTTTACAGTTCTTATTCTTGCATGTTAGTCGTCTTAACTCTTGGAGATTTTTGTTTAATGAATTTGAGTTTGTTAATGGGAATTATCAGCAAATTTTCCTTTAGAGTTCCCTTGATTCTTGCATGTTAGTTGCTTTTTCTTTTTCTTTTTTTTTTTCCTTCTTTTAATAACATAGGAAACACATATATCATTGATGGTATGTAATATTAGAAAACGTATGAGAGATCCTATTAATGAAGATTACAAAATAGCCCTCCAGTTGTCTTAACACATGGGGATTTATGTTAAATGAGTTTGAATTTATCAATGGGGACAGTTATTTTCCTGATAGTTATGGGTACCAACAACTCACAAACTAATGAACTACTTGTATTTTTTTACACTTATCTAGCCTGGAAAAATGGTTTTAGCATTATAGAATTTGTCGATATTGCCGATGCCGTACTATCATTGTTCTCTCTCTCTCTCTCTCTCTCAAGGGAGTAGGTTGATGGAGAAACTTTTAGCATGGATGGAAAGTTAGTTTCCTTGATTCATATTAGTGATATGGAAAACAAAGATGTTCCTGTCACAATAGTTAGGGTGGATTAATTCCTTCAAAATCATTGGAAGGACCAAAAGTAGATGGAAAAATAGTGGCTTTAGAAAACTTAGGTGAAAAATAAGTCATTAAGAGCGAAAAGGAGAAGTGTGGAGAGGGGGGAGCAAAGTTCTTTTTCTTCTTCCTCCCCTTCCTTGCATAAAGGATAAAATTTGGAGGGAGGAG